GTGGCGGAGAGGGGAGTGTTTTGTCTGTCTGTCTGTCTGTCTGTCTGTCTGTCGGTGTGAGTGTGTGTGCGTCGTTCCGTGTGTGTGTGTGTGACAGTGATGCATCTCTCATGTTACTGTCTTGAAGTCATTTCTTTGTGTGTGTGTCTGTTCCGAGTCTCTGGATTTAACGTAGAAGGAATATTAGATATGCTATGGAGAGGGAGAGAGAGGGGGGAAGGGAGAGAGAGGGAGGGAGAGAGGGAGAGGAGGGTGAAGGAAGACAGAGGGGGTAAGGAATAGAGAGAGAATGTGGGGTGGGGGTTGTGAGAGAGAGAGAGAGAGAGAGAGAGAGAGAGAGTCAATATTTTACCATAAAAAGAATTCATCCATGCACTCCCTTTCCCCCAACCTAACCTAACCTAACCTAACCTAACCTAACCTCAACCACTAGACTTACTATGGGTAACTTAAAAAAAATATATATACCCACCCTGTCAATTCTTACGTTTAATAACCCCCTATCATATATCTTATTGACATTAAGTTACCTATCTATATGTAAATGATATGTAAGTGACCTATGACCCCCCCTCAGTTTATGCCCAAGACTATGATAAGGTCTGATTGGCTACGGTAGATTCATAGTGTTATTGGTCGCTTTGGTGATGGTAATGGAGGTGGGGTGAGCCCGCTATCCCTTGTGTGTGTGTGTGTGTGTGTGTGTGTGTGAAGGGGAGGGGTACAAACTCATCTCAAGTGTGGAAATAAAGGAAAATTGGACGCTGTAGTTTTGGTCTAAATGTTGTTCTTGTCGGATTCTTTTTTTTTTTTTTAGATTTTTTTTTAATCCTTTTTGTACCTTTTGTTGTTGTTATTCTTGTGTTTTTTTGTTATAGTTTTTGTTCTTGTTTCAACTTATGGTTTTTGTTCTTGTTTAGGTTGTTGTTTTTGTTTTATTGTTGTTGTGTATTTGTTGCTGTTCTTGTTTCAATTTTTTTTTGTTCTTGTTTAGGTTGTTGTTGTTGTTGTGTATTTGTTTTTGTTGTTGTAGTTCTTCTTCTTGTTTCAGCTTATTGTTTTTGTTGAGGTTGTTGCTAGAAATTCTTATCAGAGGTCACATACAGAAAGGTCATTATCCCTTTCCTTTCCTTCATCTCCCACCACCCTTTCCTTACCTCCTTCTATTCCTTCCTCCCCTCCCTTCCCCTTCCCTCCCTTCCTTCCTTCACCTCCCTCCCTCCCTCCCTTCCTTCACCTCCCACCTAGCTTCTCAACACACCTTTGCAACATCACTCGCAACCTTTCACAAAAGTCTATCACGGGAAAATTGCAATAACTGCCTCGTCAACATCATGGCGACGGTGGCATCTTGACTCGTTCATTGCAGTGATAACTTTCACCCTTATGGCTCCCGGGTCAGAGGGTCGACATGTGTGTTTGTGTGAGAGAAAGTGAGAGAGAGACAGAAAAGAGAGAGAGAGAGAGAGAGAGAGAGAGAGAGAGAGAGAGAGAGAGAGAGAGAGAGAGAGAGAGTGAGTTCATCACCATCTGGAGTATTAAAAACTAAATTAACCTTTATATTCACATTCCACTAAGGTCGACATTACATTAGCTTGCTGAGTGCCTGCATCACCACCTGGGGCCATTAAAAAAAAGAGCGAGCGACCTTGGCTTTTGTGACACGAGTTAATAAGATCGACATTGCCTTAACAGATGACACTCCACATTACCTGAAGCATAATAACAAATTCACCTCTACACTAGATAACCATAAGGCCTAAAATACCTTACCAGACAACATTCCTTATATCCTGATCCATAAGGGGAGATTCTCACCTTTATGCTATGGGGATATGAGAGTTAAAATAGCATATAGCTTCCTGTCTTCGAGTCTTGGTTACTATAAACAGGTAATATTACCCTTGTAGCGCCTGGATTGAGAGGTCATTATGGCATGGAGGGGGGAGGGGGGTGAGTCTAGGAGTGTATGAGGTAAATAATAATATGTAGGCAATATGTAAGTAATGGCGGGTCATAGGGAAGGTAGGGAGGCAAGTTTCTACACACACACACACACACACACACACACACACACACAGTACTGTACATGTGATTTGGGAAATTTTAATACTGGTGTAGTCTCTCTCTAGGTTAGGTTAGGTTAGGTGTAAGTTAACAGGTAAAATTACAGGTACAGGTACAAAACAGATATAAATACAGTAACAGGTTAGATTACAAACACACACTCACTCGTTTTTAATCTTGAAGACACGGGCGCCCCTCAAGGTATTTCAGCAGGTAAGACGGTGATGAAATGACTGGGGCAAGATGGTGGGGTCCTGGGCTGATGTATTATGTATAAATGTATAATATGCAGTGTGTATATGTATGAGTCTATATGTTCCGTGTGTGTGTGTGTGTGTGTGTGTGTGTGTGTGTGTGTGTGTGTGTGTGTGTGTGTGTGTGTGTGTGTGTGTGTGTGTATGTGTATGTGTGTGTGTGTGTGTGTGTGTGTGTGTGTGTGTGTGTATGTGACTTACTATATCCAGTTCATATAGTTATCACATTAGCCCTCTGGTGGCGGCGTAGTCAACCATAAACATTACACCTTAATGGCCCTGACCTATATACCTAATTACACGCGGTGACGTCATTAATTACCGCAGAGGATGGGTTAAACAGCTGTAGCCAAGTACTTTAGAAGCCAATTAGTGCTGGCTGTAACGTACTCTGTGTGTGTGTGTGTGTGTGTGTGTGTGTGTGTGTGTGTGTGTGTGTGTGTGTGTGTGTGTGTGTGTGTGTGTGCGTGTGTGTGTGTGTACGTTATATTTTCTCACGAGATCTATAAACATTCCTCTGTTCTCTCTCTCTCTCTCTCCTCCCCCACTAGTCGAACCTCACAATCAAGAGGGATCGAAACCAAGGTGGGTGATTGGAGGTTGTGTCTTCGTGTTGCGTTGTGTTGTTATATTGTATTGTGTTGTTTTGTGTTATGTTGTGTTATGTTATGTCGTGTTATGTTGAGCTGTGTATAGTGTTGTGTTGTGTTGTGTCGTGTTTGTTGTGTTATGTTGTGTTGTGTTCTGTGTTGCGTTGTGTTGTGTTGTTGTGTTATATCGTATTGTGTTGTTTTGTGTCGTGTTGTGTTGTGTTGTGTTGTGTTATGTTGTGTTATGTTATGTCGTGTTATGTTGAGCTGTGTATAGTGTTGTGTTGTGTTGTGTCGTGTTTTGTTGTGTTATGTTGTGTTGTGTTGTGTTGTGTTGTGTTGTAACTTGTTGTATTCAGGGCTGCCAACTCTCCCGGCCCCCCAACCACAGCCAGTATTACCACCATTAACCACTATTACCACCATTAACCACTATTACCACCATTAACCACTATTACCACCATTAACCACTATTACCACCATTAACCACTATTACCACCATTAACCACTATTACCACCATTAACCGCTATTACCACCATTAACCACTATTACCACCATTAACCACTATTACCACCATTAACCACTATTACCACCCCACTGTTAAGGAACACTCTCTCTACACCTTTCACACACTTCTCTACACACACACCTCCAAGCACACACCTGTACCTAATTAACAAAAAGAACCGATCATTGTGTTGACTGACGGGAAGAAACCCCAACAGAAACACAAGCCGGAGCTAACACAGGTAGATTCAGGGCTGTTTTAAACTCCTAGGTAGCAACTCAGTGTTTATAAAACAAATCAGGGCGTACTAGTTTTCTTTTGTTCTGTGATTATAGGTGAGTTTTGTTGACGTGTGTGTGTGTGTGTGTGTGTGTGTGTGTGTGTGTGTGTGTGTGTGTGGTGTGTGTGTGTGTTTTAATGGGTGATATACTGTACCACTAAAACAATGAGGAGAAAGTATATAAAAATCTCTCCTCCCAAACTCCCATCCCTGTTCACCACCCACCCCATCCTCATTTCTCCCTCACCACTCCACCCCCTTCACCACCCACCCCCTCCCTGCTTCCTCCTCCTCACCACCTTCCCCCACCCACCCACTACCCCCCCTCTCCATGTTGTGTTTACAGTATAATTTTTTTCTATTAACTGAAGAATTTTATTTCTGAAGGAAGGTTTATTGCCACACCTCACCAGCTGAAACAACTTATTAAAGTCTTGGGATAATAGTGTTGTTGTTGTTTTTGTTGCTGTTTTTGCTAGTTGCTGCTGTCTGTTATTGTTGTTGCCCTTTATTGTTGTTGTGGTTTTTGTGTTGCTTCTCCAAGACTAAGTGGTATGTTAGTGTAGTAATATTCGTTGTTGTTTTGTTGCTGCTGTTGTTATTGTTGTTGTTGTTTTTGTTTTGATGTGGGCTAATCATTGAGAAGATAAATTTATATATATTGTCGTTCAAATGTTATTGTTGTTTTTTCTTCACCAAACTTAAGTTATCAATGTATATATATTTACTGCTTATTACTGTATAGGGTTAAAGGTCAAACTATCAATGTTATATAGGGTGTCATATAGTGTCATGTATGGGTGTGTCATGTAGAGTGTCATATAGTGTGTCATGTAGTGGGTGTGTCATGTAAGGTGTCATATAGTGTGTCATGTGGTGGGTGTGTCATGTAGAGTGTCATATAGTGTGTCATGTGGTGGGTATGTCATGTAGAGTGTCATATAGTGTCATGTGGCGGGTGTGTCATGTAAGGTGTCATGTGGTGGGTGTGTCATGTAAGGTGTCATGTGGTGGGTGTGTCATGTAAGGTGTCATGTGGTGGGTGTGTCATGTGGTGTGTATCATGTAGGGTGTCATATAGTGTCATGTGGTGGGTGTCATATGAGATGTTTATGTAGGGTGTGTCGCTAGGATGTGTTTCACTATCTCTACCATCTATGTCTCACCATCTATGTCTCACCATCTGTCTCACCACCTTATCTCCTCTAGACTGTCTCTCTCACACTCTACATCTCTCTCCCCTTCCAGTGTGCCATCTTGTCAGGTCAGAACTGGCGGCCATATTCGGTCCACAGTCAGGTCAGACCTCGGCTCACGTGCAGTCCATCTGTGACGCCCTGGAGATCCCCCACATCGAGACCCGTTGGGACTACAGACTCCGGCGGGATGATTACTCCGTCAACCTCTACCCTCACCCCTCCTCCCTCAGTAAGGTCAGTGTCACGCCCTTTGTCCTACACCTGTCATGATGCACCTGTCTCTCCTACACCTGTCATGAAGCACCTGTCTCTCCTACACCTGTCATGGTGCAGCTGTCTCTCCTACACCTGTCATGAAGCACCTGTCTCTCCTACACCTGTCATGATGCAGCTGTCTCTCCTACACCTGTCGTACAACCTTTGATACACCCTTTTTACACCTAATCCATTCTAACCAAATCAAACGTAACATAAACCAACCTAACCTAACCTAATCTAACCTAACCTAAGTTAATTTACGCTAACCAAATGTAACTTGTTCATATCTTCACACACACACACACACACGTAGTATACTTGATAACGAGAATCCACTACTACTACTACTACTACTACTACTACTACTACTACTACTACTACTTTTTTTTTTTTTTTTTTTTTAAACGTACTCCAGCCTCCCAATAGCCACACCTTCGCCACCATTTATTTACTCCGACAGTCATCCTAATACACATAAGAAGCTATCCCATTTGTGTTAATTAGCTGGAGCTGCAGATCCACATGCGGCATTCCGTGACCAGCCCATAGTCAATATCTGCAGCAGTTGTCGGAGTAGGGCAGAAGCTCTGTTCCCCTGAGGCAGAGCAAAGCCGACCGAAGGAGAGAGAGAAGGACAGGCCGATCCAGGCTGTGACATAACTTCTGGGCTGCTGCTTCTGTTCGGAGATCAGCTCCGCGAGTCTGGCGTAGAAACATCTTGCACTTGGGCCCATCCCACCAGAGGTTGTGAACACTAGAGGAGTGAAGTTGCCTTGATCAACATTTTGAATTCTCTCCCCATATGCCCTTCTCTTGTCGTTCTCGTTCCTCCTATGCGCAGCATCGAGAGCTAGGTTACGGTGACAAACGGCCATGGGATCAAAAATCCTGATGTCGAAGAAGGCTCGCTGTCCCCGCGTCCAGAATCCTCGAGCACTGACGTCCACACGGGCTTCGCTAGATGTGTTCGAAGTCCTGTGTTGGAGGATCTCGCCATCCAGCGGAAGGAGGGTCGGTTCTACCATGACGTCCCGGCAGGTTTCCTTCAACATATTTGCTGTGAGATCCCTTACCTCGTCATGCCTCATGCATATGAAGCCCCCCTTCTTGCAAACCATGGCGTGATCGCCATCATAGGAATAGCCACACACGCATTGGGAGGGCAAACCATCTACTGGCCAACCGTACCTTAGAGCAATGGCATCTGTAAATTCTCTTGTTTGTTAAGGCTGAAACCATTTGCCCTTATCGGTAACGTAGTTAACCAGTTCGAGGCGCCTGCACCCCTGACATATAGCTACTTTTTTTGTCAAATTTTTTGGAGCCTGCAGTAATAGTTGCTGCAACATGTCATTTGGCAGTGCTGCCGATCTGTTGTAATGGACCCATGATCTTATTAACTTACTACTACTATCAAGTTACTACTACTACTACTACTACTACTACTACTACTACTACTACTACTACTACTACTACTACTACTACTACTACTACTACTATTCTCTCCATACTGTACCTGTAATCTCTGTATTCCTGTAGGCATACCTGGATCTGGTGAGGATGTTCGGGTGGCGGTCCTTCTGTATCCTGTACGAGGACAACGAGGGGCTGGTCAGGATGCAGGAGCTCCTAAAGACGCCCTCCCCTAATGAGTTCAAGGTGACCATACGCCAGCTGCCCCAAAGTGATGATTACAGGTGCGTATCTCAGGTGTTTAGGCGAGTCCCACAGGTGTTTGGGGAAGGTTACCGTTGAATGAAGTTGTTTCTAATGCCTCAAAGCTTCTATTGTGAGTGAACTTTATTAGGGATTCGGAACTACTGTGAATGAACGTAATATTTCGAATCTCTTTCCATAAACTTAATCAATGCTTCGAAACCACTGTGAATGAACGTATTATTTCGAATCTCTTACCATAAACTTAATCAATGCTTCGGAACTACTGTGAATGAACGTAATATTTCGAATCTCTTTCCATAAACTTAATCAATGCTTCGAATCTCTACCACAAATGAACTTAATGCTTCTCACTCAACTAATGAATGACTCGTTTGTGACCTCCGTGCCTTGACCTCCCGCCCTCTTACCTCCAGGGACGTACTGAACGAGGTGAAGGGGACACTAGAACAAAACATCATTCTGGACTGCAAGACGGAGAAGGTCGGCATGGTGCTCAAACAGGCTCAGCAGATAGGCATGATGTCTTCCTTCCACAACTATATCATCTCCTCCCTGGTGAGTCCTGGTGTGTGTGTGTGTGTGTGTGTGTGTGTGTGTGTGTGTGTGTGTGTGTGTGTGTGTGTGTGTGTGTGTGTGTGTGTGTGTGTGTGTGAATCAGAAAGAGACAAATATAATGAGAGACAGAGAGAGACTAAACAATGAAGCAAGATATAAAAAAATAGGACATAGTGAGAGGAGAGAGGAGAGACAAATACAGCAAGAGAAAGACAAATGAGAGAGAGAGAGAGAGAGAGAGAGAGAGAGAGAGAGAGAGAGAGAGAGAGAGAAAATCAGTAGTAAGTGAGGTTAGAGGGGGGGAGGGGAAGAGACAGAGCCAGCAACAGGTAGATAATTCACTGCCATTTGACACCCCCCTCCCCTCCCTCCCTCCCCCTCACACAGGCAGGCTAAAAACCACCACCATTGTATCACCTAAATTGGACGGCTCCCAAGAACAGAATATACCAGAATCTCGTGTGTGTGTGTAGACAATTGCACACTACGACTGATTATTTACAGTGAAACCTCTATTTAACGGATTACATAGAGAGAAAATTCCGTTATATCGAGGGTCTATTAGATGTGAAAACCTCCATCTAAGGATCTATATAGAGATGAAAAATCCATTATGTCAAGGGTCCATTAGATGTAGAGAAATCCGTTATATGGAAAGAAGTCCGTTATATAGAGAGAAGTCCGTTATATAGAGAGAAGTCCGTTATATAGAGGAAAGTCCGTTATATAGAGGAAAGTCCGTTATATAGAGAAAATTCCGTTAAATAGAGAAAATTCCGTTAAATGGAGGTTTCACTCATTTATCTTTTTGCTGTGACCTATTGACCCCACACCTCACCCCACAGGACCTACACCTGGTCAACTTGGAAGACTTTAAGTACGGCGGCTCCAACGTGACGGCGGTAAGACTGATTGACCCAGACCGAGAGGAGGTGAAGAACGTGATGAAGGACCTACAGGCTGGCCGGGGCATGTACACCAACAAGCTCCATGACGAGGACGTGATCATGAAGGTGAGGTGTACACTTAGATGCACGTACATGTACTCTTACACACAGGTACACTTAGATGCACGTACATGTTCATTTACACACAGGTATGTTTAGGCACCTGTACACCTAGATGTCTGTACACTCACATATATGTACATTTTGATACCTGTACACTCACACACACTTGTACACTTTGTCATCTACATGTGTGTACTGTACATTCACACCAGGGTAATTTTACACACACATGTACACTTTGACATCTGTACACTCAAGCACATGTACACTTGAACACCTATATCACACACACACACACACACACACACACACACACACACACACACACACACACACACACACACACTACACTCACTTGTTTATAGAATTAAGAATCGAATTTAAGCTTTGAATCACCATTAAAAAAATAAAATCTCTTCCATGAACCTTGAATCAAAACAATGCCATAAAAACTATAAGGTTGATTCTCTAACTTAAATAACAAGGGAAAACAATCCTTATATAGCTCGTCAGGATATAGGTCACCAGCGGTAGTAAAAAAAATCAGTAAAAATCAAAGTATAATAATAATAAAAAAGTATATATAAAAGTATAAAGTAGCTTGACAGTAAACTATAAATGCCTTGGCTTTTTTTTTTAAGACTTTGCAAAGTGTGTTTCTTGTCTCTGGTCGATTGTCATTTGTTTATCTATAAATTTTTTCAATAGTATTCACTCACTCCCTCTATGAAACTTTGGGATGATAGTAATACTGTACTCTAGTTTACCCCCACAATCCCATCCAATCCCTTCCAACAATCCCTCCAAACACAAGAATATATTAGTAAATTCTTTCTAAAAATCCCAATCCCTCAAATATTTAAAGATTGTAGTATTTTTTTCTAAAATCCCAAAGATTCTATTAAGTCTTTTTCCTTAGCATTGGATTCTTTGTGTAGTACAGTATGTGGTCTGGATCCCCCTCCCTCCCCCCTTGCATGAAGCATCTCAATCATGTCTTTTAGAGTTTTCCCCTAAGCTTTATGTCTTCTCATGACTGGCTAAGCTTCATGTCTCCTTAAGTATTTAGCCATAAGCTTCATCTGTTTCATAAGTGAATTTTCTTAATCTCCATGTCTTCATAAATATCTACCCCTAAGCTTCAAAGCTTCATATCTACCCCTGAGCAACAAAGCTTCATATCTACCCCTGAGCTTCATGTTTTCATAAATGTCTACCCCTAAGCTTCAAAATTTCTTAAGTATCTTCCCCTAAGCTTCAAAATTTCTTAAATATCTTTACCTAAGCTTCAAAACTTCATAAATATCTACCCCTAAGCTTCAATACTTCATAAATATTTACCCCTAAGCTTCACGTCTCAAATATCTACCCCTAAGCTTCACGTCTTAAGTATCTACCCATAAGCTTCACGTCTTCATGAATGTCTACTCGTAAGCTTTATGTCTTTTCATGTCTATACTCCTTAGCCTCACGTCTACCCATAGTAGGCAGACCTGTGAAGACTTGTCTAATAATCATGTCCTTCTGTCCTTACTGCCTCTCAGCTCAGGAACTTGAGTTTCTGGACGGTAAGCCATTCTTTATGTGTGTGTCTACTGTTGGAGCATAATGTCTTACGCATACTGTAGGAGCATAATGTCTCACATATTGTAGGAGCATAATTTTTCAAGCATATTGTTGGAACATAACATCTCATTCATACTGTAGGAGCATAATACATCAGTCATACTGTAGGAGCATAATGTCTCACACACATATAGTAGGAGCATAATGTCTCATGCCTACTGTATGAGCATGTCTCATGCATTTTGTAAGAGCATAATGTCTCAAGCATACTATGCGAGCATAATGTCTCATGGATATAGTAGGAGCATAAGGTCCCATGCATATTGTAGGAGCATAATGTCTTATGCATACTGTAGGAGCATAATGACTCATGCATATAGTAGGAGCATAATGTCTTTATGCATACTGTAGGAGCATAATATCTCATGCATATAGTAGGAGCATAATGTCTCACGCATATAGTAGGAGCATAATGTCTCACGCATATTGTAGGAGCATAATGTCTTATACATACTGTAGGAGCATAATATCTCACGCATATTATAGAAACACATACAAGTAGTAGAAGCATAACATCTCATTCATGCTGTAGGAGCATAATGTCTCGCATATTATGTAGGAACTTAATGTCTCATGTATATAGTAGAAATATAATGTCTCATGCATACTGTAGGAGTATATCTCACACATACTGTAAGTTTATAATGTATCATGCATACTGTAAGAGCATAATGTATCACGGATATTGTAGGAGCATAACGTCTCATGCCTGCTATAGGAGCACAGGAGCATAATGTCTCATGCATATAGTAGTCTCACGTATACTGTAGGAGCATAATGTCTCACGCATACTGTAGGAGCATCGCCCATGCATGTTTGTGTTCAGGCTCACGACGTACTGTAGCTGTGGCCGATGTTCAGGATACAACACCTTGGTCGATGTTAAGTACACCTGAACATCACTAGTCTGGCCTCTTGATTTTGGTGATTTTTTATTGAATTTTTAACATATATATTTATTTTTTTTCCATTTTTAACAATTACGTATTTTAAATTTCCTGTGTATTTTTTTTATTTACATTTTTTTTCTGTGTAAGTTATACATTTTAAAAACATTTATAATTATTTTTTATTTTAATTTTGTGTTGAATTTGCGTATGTTTAAAGATAACTTGTGTTTGGTGTTTATATGTGTCAAAAAGCGTATAATCCAGTACTCTTTTAAGTCTAGTGTGATGTTAATTTTTGCGTATTTATAAACATCGGTAGTTTTAGTTGATGTTTCTGCGCGTATGTTTATCTACCTTTATTTGTCTCTATGTTTAGGTGTATGCAGTTAATGTTTCTATAATGTTTATTGTTATATAATGTGTATTTGAGTATTATTAGTTTTGATATCGGTAATTAGTATTATTAATTACTCTTCAACAAAAATGTCTATATGAATTTTTCTTTACAGCCCACCATTTTTTTTTCTTTATAACTCACCAATTTATTTATAGCTCACCAATATGTAAGTGAAGTGGGGGGAAAATTGGGGTGATGGGGAATTTTGTTTACTTTTTTGGCAAGCTTGAAAATGTTGATGGGATGAGAGAGAGAGAGAGAGAGAGAGAGAGAGAGAGAGAGAGAGAGAGAGAGAGAAGAGAGAGGAGAGAAGAAACAGGCTTGAAGCATGAAATACAAACTTTTAGCAAGCGTATTAAAAACTTAAAGGAAAGTTTGAAGCAAAAAACATTTACAAAATGTAGAAAGTTAAGGAGTATACGTAAAAAGTTTAACGAAATGATGTTGAAGATGAAAAAATGTTTGAAGTGTTGGAAAAAGTTTATATTTTTATCTTTTATTACACGAAGAGAAATTCTAAAGACTTTGGGAGATTTGACAACGTATTTAGTTACTATAGACACACACACACACACACACATAATGGTTGTCTCCCTCGTGTAACGAGGATACCAATCTTAGGCCACCTAGGCGAATTTGTTTATAAGAAGGTTACAACAACCACACCCACGTTAACGCGTTGCATGACTGACAACTCTCCAACTGCATTGGCTAACCATTACCTCGGAACACGATCCGTAAATCGATTAACATCCAGGTCCCCAATTACTGCTGGGTAGACATGCAGAGGCAAGCGGCGTAAAGAAACTTGCCCATAGTTACACTCTGCCCGGAGTGAACCTGGTCCACTTGCTTGCGAAGCGAGCATGCTGACCATTACACCACAGGCCGCCTCTCTCTCTTTCTCTCTCTCTCTCTTGCTCCCGTGCCTTCAGTCGTGCTCTCAAAAATTAAATATTCCAGAGAAACAAACTTGGTGCTTAAATAATCCTGTCAAAGAGACTTAATTTGTATTTTACAGCCGCCAAAGGAGCTCTCACCTGCCCCCCAAATTAACTTAGTCTAAACCCATGTCACTCAGATCCCCGCTACCTACACATCATCCACTTATAACTCTTTATTTGATCCTCCTGTTTTTCTATTGGTTTATCTCACAGACCCGATTAGATACAAGGGAGCCAATCATAACCTGGTATATGATAAGTGGTATTTTCCCATTGGCTTACTCCATTGACCAATAAGAAGAGGACTTCACTTGTTCTTCTTTAGGGAGGGAAGGAGGAGGGGAAGGGGGAGATCGGAGGGGGAGAAGAGGGATTTATAAGGTGCATTATTCAATCTTCTAAAAATAGGAGCATCACCTTAAAGCTCACCGGCACACGTGTATAGATCTACGTACTTGGAGTAATATCAAGCCATACGTCCATTCATCACACACACCGAGGCCTCCCACGGATGTAAACAAAGGCGTCACACTACGGGATCAAGCGAGAGACTCATGATGTAACTTATGTGAGCCAACCCCCCACTCTCTCTCTCTCTCTCTCTCTCTCTCTCTCTCTCGAGTATTTTGAAGTTTAGTTTATTATTCCTCGCTTGGTGTTTAGGTTATAGTCCGCGGTGCTCGTTTTAATCCCAGTGTATGACGTATGCACCGTGTGTGTGTGTGTGTGTGATGATGATGTACGTACTTTTACTTTAACTGCTCTAGACATGATGGAGTTTAGAGTATTTGTGAGAAAGGCAAAACTATGTATATTTTTTTTATTCTTTATGTCGTTGTTGAAGATAATTTGTTCTCTTGGTTTTTGTAACAAAAAAAATTAGAATAGAGGGAATGAAAAATGTATTCTTTTCTTGTACCAATAAAATTAAGTTGAACTGGAAGACTGACAGTTTCTTCGGGGTACTGTATTGATAAAAATGGTCGGAAAATAGAAAAAAGGGCAGTTTTTCTTAATACGAAAAATAGAAAGGGAATGAAAAAAATATTCCTCTCTGATGTTTGTAATAAAAATAAACTTTCGGGAAAGAATTGAAGATTTTTTTCTGTTATTTCAAAAAGACAAAAAAAAGCACGAAAGACAATAAAAAGGATTATTGTTTAAGGAGTAAAAAGATAAACAACAGAAGAGGAATGAGAAGCGGTCTGTCGCCTGGGTGTGTGTTCCCTGGCTGTGTGTACTGTATATATATGTTTCTTCCCGGGTATAAAAACAACCAGAAATGTGAGTCAACTAAATCCAGGGAGACTTGCCAGCGACCATGTCCTCCCCAGGGTGAAGCTCTGTTGTGTAAAGGCTTAATGAAGATTTTTTTTTTTTACCTAGTTGTGTTGGTGAGGAAGTGTTGGAACATCTTGTTTATAGGTTTTATGAAGACTCAGTTGTGTTGTTGGGGGAGTGTTGGAACATCTTGTTTATAGGTTTTATGAAGACTCAGTTGTGTTGTTGGGGGAGTGTTGGAACATCTTGTTTATAGGTTTTATGAAGACTCTTAATCAATCTCTGTTGGTGAGGGAGTGTTGGAACGCCATGATCTTATTGACATTGTTGTGGCTGATGATGGCTAATGTTTTTACGAGTTGAAGATGAAGACGTGTTGGTGTTTACCCTCATTATGAACTGATGAAGACGTGGTTGGTATATTAACAGGTGACGAGGGAGACATGCATCTTTCAGTTGGAGATAATGAAGATGTTTTTACCAAGAGAGAGAGAGAGAAAAAGGGAAAGAGAGCGAGAGAGGTACAGTAGTTCGCTCTCTCTAGCTACAGCGAGTAACTGACGAGCGTTTGTCTATTTTAATATTCCGAATCTGACGTCAAGGAAGAGAGAAAGACAGTGTGTTTTGTTTGAGTAGAGCAAAACGACTTGTGTTGCTGCTGCCTGTCTTGGTGCTCTCAAGTCTTAGCTTAACTACACACACACACACACACACATATGCTCCTACCCTGCTTGGCCTCGCTCCTCCCACTGCCTGGCCCCTCTCCTCCCACTCCCTCGCCCCTCTCCTCCCACTGCCTCGCCCCTCTCCTCCCATTCCCTCGCCCCCTTTCCTCCCACTGCCTCGCCCCTCGCCTCTCTCCTCCCATCTGCCTAAAACTTGCTAATGCTGCTCGCGTTTTTTTTAACCTTCCGAGAATTTCCCCGACACCCACATTTTGTCTTTCTTTTTCTTGACTTCTTTCCTTTTCTTTCAGTATCTTGTTTTCTGTCTCTGTATTTTGTCTTTTTTGTCTTCTTTCCTTATTCTTTATTTTTCTTTAAATTTTATTGATTGTCTTTCATTATCTTGTCTTCTTGCTATTGATATTACTACTTTTCTCCTTTATTTTTTTCTTTATATATATATATATATATATATATATATATATATATATATATATATATATATATATATATATATATATATATATATATATATATATATATATATATATATATATATATATATATACACACACACACACACTGACCTTTATCAGTTCTCTTATTAGCTGAGATACAAAACCTAAAAATCGTCGTAGTGAATCAGTTGTTTACGTGATGAAGGATTTTTTTCAGTGGGATAAGGCTCCTCGCGCTGTCTGTTTTGTTGACACTTGAGGGGAATTTTCAGTTGGATGAGATTCCACGTGCCTAGAGGAGATATTT